TGCCACACGGCACGGGATGTGTTACAGCAGGCATGGCATGCTCTCTCTCCCTCGCTCTCTCTCTCGTTTTCTATCAGCAGCTACCTCTCTCTTTCTCTATCTATGTGTGCGTGTGTGTGTGCAGACAAAATAGCAATTTGCGTTTTCAAACAAAACAGGCCGAGAGCAGAGCTTTAGTTTTTGTTGCTGCTTCTTTTGCCTTGGTTCGCAATTGATTGAAATCCCTGAGCGCACACCTTTTTATACGCTGCCATTGGAGCATTATCGCTATGCTGGGCAGTAGGTCAGGAATACAGTGGAATGTGTTTCAGCTATTTTATAGAATTTTTGGTAAATTTTTTTTCTATGCGAACTCTTCGCTCAGCTTGGCTGCTGCCGTCTTGGAACTTCGTCAGCTTGTATAGCCTCGAGTTACTGTAAAATATAGCTTTTATTTGTTACATGAAATCAAAGAACTTTTCAATATGAATCGACTCTAATCATTAGAGAAATGATTGCTTAAAATTAAGTTATTTTATATAGAAGTTTTTTGGTTTTTCTTCTTCAAGCTCAGTATGCTCCAAGGCATATCTAGCTTTTCAGATAGATTAATCCACTCAATCACATCTATGGCGTATCCAGGTGCAATCAGTAGGAAAGAAAGACTTTGACCATTAGATTCATTATGCATAAGCATATACAGTCTTCGACTAGCTAGTCGCAGAGGTACACTCTATAGATTTTGCTTTGTTTCTGATTGTTGTTGCTGTTGCTGGTGTTGTTTGCTGGTGTTGTTGCTGGCTGGCTTAGCTGCGTCACAGAAAACACACAACTTCCGCTTTCTTTGGCAAAAACAATAGAAAGCACATAAATTTATGGTTTCAGCATTGTGCTTTTGACATACAACCATGTGAGGGTTGTCAAGAGAGGGCGAGGTGGAAGGGGCGGGGGGTCCGTGCAGGGATTGCTGTCGTAACGTTAAGGGGTTAATATGCCTGCAACCGCAAACGGGATTCGGATTTGGGTTTGCCAATGTGAGGGTTGGACTTGAGTTGACTTTTCTTATAAATAATTTTACTAAATGGATTTCGTATAAATGCTGACATTAAGCATGTGTGTGTGTGTGTGTGTGTGGGAGTGTGTGTTTGGTAACTGCTTGAACTAATTACCTGCAAATTTATTTTACTTTTGTTTTGGCAGGCAAATTTTGTTTACCAAATGCAACAATCAAAATTGGCCAAATTGAGAGTTGGCTCTATAACGGTATTTATATACAGTTGCCAAGTGTGTGTGTATGTTGTGCTGGGCCAAGTTTAATGGTTTTTTGGGGCATTTTCTTGCAGCTGTTTCGCTTTGTGGTTGCCAGCGCTGCTGCTGCTGCTGTTGTTGTTGTTGTTGTTGTGGCTGTACGTTTCAAAATTTATGTTTGCTGGCTATGAAAATGAAATGACTGTGGTAAACATTTTAATTAAATCCAAGTTTGGCTTCTGCCTTCGTTACAACAATATATTTTGTTGTCGTTGTTGCCACTTTGTTGCCCTTCCGCCCACTTCACTCTCGCTCGCTCTCACTCACTCTCCATCTATCTCTCTCTTTCACTCTCTTCTATTTTATACCCACACACACAGTTCTTTATATTTCTTTTTTTTTTGTTGTAGCAAATAAATTTTAATTTTATGTTGGCCGCGTTTTAATTTGTTGTCCACTTTTTGTTTTTTTTTTTTTATTTTGTTGTCATTCTTCATTTGTATATATACAAACATACATATATACATATATATATAAATTTTTATTTATTTTTTTATTATTGTTTTCTGCGCTTTTATTCGCATTTACACTTTATGCATGTGCGCATTTATTTTGTTTGCTAGCTTTTCTATTGGCTCTGATGCGGGTGGGCCGTGGGGGTTGAGCGCAACGCTGACAGCCGGTCAAGTGACAGTTGCCACTGTAGACACACACACACACACATAGAGAGGGAGAGGTGGAGAGAGAGAGAGCATGCACGCAAATATGAAATGCAAAACAAACTTTGCAGCTGTCACTCAAAAATGAGCGTCGCAATGGACGACAGCGAACAAAGCGATGCAATGCACACGAGCTGTAGCAGGAGTAGAGCGTACTGCTGATGGAGGGGCTGTGTGGGGCTGAGGCAGGGGGAGAGCGTGGGACTAGTAGCTGTGCACTGAGAGAAATGTGAAATGGTTAATTGGGCGGAAAGGTATTTGGGTATGCGAAATGGTTGTCGCTCTATAAAACGACGAGTTCGCAATGCCCAGCAGCAGCAGCAACAGCAGCAACAGCAGCAGCAGCAACAGCAGCAACAGCAGCACCGACAGCAACAGCGACAAAGTGGGTTAGAAAGGTAAATGAAAGGTTGACGGACAGTTAATTTCGGGCAGTTGATTGAGTTATGAGCTCTGCACACACTGCAAGAAAGCAACAGAAAGAGAGAGAGAGAGACTGAGGGAGCGAGAGAAAAGTGAGATGGGTAACAGTTGGCAGCTGTTTGCGTATATACGATTTTCCATTTTGGCATATGTGATATGCGTGAATGGTGCGGATATATGACAGATGTTTGCAATGGATTTACAGTTGAAATCTCTTTCGACATCGAGTGAACAATGCCAGCAGAAGACAACTTTAAAAGTTAGATAAACTAGTCTTAAAAGTATTTAATAAGATCTCTGCTCTTTGACTGGTATTGAAGTCTAGTAATTTAGTGCGAATTATGAATTATGTTAAAGGAGTTAAGGTATAGAATCTAAGCGAGTTTTAAATTAGAGTATTTTGATAAATATTAAGCTTTATGTAGACAAAAGTCGAATTTTCTATCTCATTTCTCATAGAAGAAAACATTAAGATTAAATATGTTTTCTTTTCGTTTTAAATGAGGTAATTACTTAATTAAATTATATATACTCAATAATTTATGCTCTTTATATAAAATAATAAGTTCTTAATTTTTAATTTTTTTAATTTTTTTTTTTTTTGAATTAACATTACATTATGCTTATAAAATAATCAGAAAATATTTAATTAATTTTTAATAAATTTATAAAAAATATTGATATTTAATTTTAAAAAATTTAAAAATATTAAATGATTGAAAAATATTATAAATAAGTACTTGAGCAGCGTATAAAAATATTAAAATTAAATTATAAATCTGATAAAATGTTAAATTAGGAAATATATTAAATTTTATATTTTAAATAATATTTTAAGTTTTAAGTCTAATTCAAAATTCGAAGAAAATGTATCTGAATCCCATATACTTAAATACACTTAAAATTTTACAAATAAAAAATAATAATTGTAATAATAATGTATATATTTTTTTATAAGTTATTTACAACAATTTTCGCAAATTTAATCATTTTTAATTACGTCTCAAATATATTTTACATTTTCATGCAATAAATTGTACATTCACCAACTTGAAATCAAATCTGAATGTTAACAAGTAAATAAATCAGGCAACTGTGGCAATAGTCGCCGGGAATAGTAACCTTTCCCTTGCTAAACGCAATGAATTCGCATATTATAAGCTGCATATTCAGTGTGAATAAGTGCCTGGTTGCTAGCGCGGGCAAACACATTCATGAATAAAGCTCGAATTCGAGCAGGTTTGACTCCTTTTTGTTACAAGTTGTGCTACACCTGCGGCTAATTGGCAGGTCATTCCAGTTGGAAATGTCGAGCGAGCCGCCCCATTAAAACTTAACCAAAAGTGTAGCATGCCATATTACACATACGAACCGTGGTACAGCGCTGCAGTTGATTGCGCGCGCTCTCTCTCTGTGCCTCTCTCTCTCCGTATCTCTGTCTCTTTTCTGCTTTGTCATCAATTTACATGCCACACACGCATAGCGAGCTGCACTTATCCTTCTCTTCCCTCTCTCTGCCTGCATTTGCGCCAGTTGCTGCTGTTATTTATGGCCAACGAAAACTGTCATAAGCAAACAAATTGTTTTTTATTGTTCATAATTATTGTGCATACTTATGTAAATCACGCGACGCATTTCGACTGCGCGTTGTATGCACCCCGGCCAACCCGCCGACCCGCCGACCTGCTCTTGCCCTTGCCACTTGCCACAGAGCATGGCAAGCGCAACTAGTTGCTGTTGCCTCTACACTATGAGGGCTGCTGCTGAGGCTGCTGTGGCAAGCACAAAAAAAATTGTTTGTTTTATTGAATTTTTATTGTAGTTTGAATTTATGACGCAACGCGCTAGCAGCCAGTCGACTGGATTAGGGTATTTCTTTGCCAGCTCTGGTAGCAGATGACTTTATCGGCTTTTTGCTGCATTAAATCGCAGCCAAACTGTTAGCCTGGGCCCATCATCCCAGGGCCCCCACCTCCAATCCCTGACTGACTCGCTGTTTGTCTGGCAATTTTGTTGAAACAACTTCAGCGTTTGCGTTTGTGTGCGTACGTGCCACTGGAGTGCGCTCGGCTCGGCGCTGCTCGACGCTGCTCTGCCAGATTAGCTTGGCAAAACCGCAGACAACAGCTGCCATGGCAGAGCTTCCAGTTGAAGCTGGGGACTGGGGTTTGGGCATTGGGCTGATCTCCTCTCTCTCTCTCTCTCTCTCTCTCCCTCGCTCCCTCTCTCTTTCTGTGCAAGTGCCAAAGAGGCAGCACGGCATGAGTTTTTCGCTTTTCGCTTCATTTTTTTGTGTCCTGTTGGTTTTTGTTGAGCCTTGAAGCGTGTGCATGTGAATAATGTCCAGCAATTGGCTTTGTAGTGGGGGCTGCGGATGGGGTTTATTGGCGCTTGTGTGTGCCACAGACGACGTCATTTATTTATGAGGCCAAACGCGCGCGCGAATTTTTATGAAGACCGTAACAAAAATTAGTAACTTTTGCCTGGCGGTGATTCCGTTGGAGTTTCCTCCTCGTCCGTTTTTGATGACTGTTCCCTGACATTTCATAAACTTTCGCTTATTGATTATTTACCACAGTTGTTGTTGTTGTTGTTACTGTTTCATCCTGTTGCTTTGGTTTTTATTTGCAGAGAGCTTACGCGATTATTTTGGACGCTACGGCGATATCTCTGAGGCAATGGTCATGAAGGATCCCACGACTCGCAGATCCAGGTGAGTACAACAAATCAAAATTATTTTGTAAGCTCTGAATTGAGAAAAGTTGAGTTTAAGATTAAGAAAAGTAAGTGTTTGGAGGGTGGAAACAGGAGTTGCGAGCTGAAGTGCTAGGCGTGATTGGTATTTAGGAAGGGTAAGAGAAGAGAATGGTTGGAGAAACATGTCTATTCAGTAATATCTTTAGATATAATAGATATAGTAGATAGTTAGATGAAGATTCCAGAAGTCTTCCTAGCCAACATCTCTTAGTATTCTGCAGCAAATTATGAAATTTATATAGTAAAATATTTTGATAAGTGTTCAACTTATACAATTTTCTACTTAACAAGAACTTAACTCAACTTTAGCATAAAGTTTTTTGCCTTCACTTTTCACATTTTGGCAATAAACGATTTCAGTGTAAAAACTTTTAGTATTTAAGCTAAAGGAAGCTGCTTCGCTTTAGTTTTGATTTCACTCTTTCAGTTTCAGTTTGACAGAGCTAAAAATTATTAAAAAATAATAAAAAATAAATCTATTTAATTAATTAATATTTTAACTTGTGTTTTTATATTTGCACAATTTACCTATGGCTGAATTGATGTTGTATTAGGTTTTCGTTAGTTCGTTCAATCAATTTACGGCAACTCTTGAGGCTTTAAAGTAAGTTTGAAGCGTACAGAATAAAAATGTGAAGCAACTTTGAAAATACAATTGAGAACTTTGCTTATTGAAACTTATTTCTAGGTTTCAAGGCTTGAAAACACAAACTGAGTCTATTCAAAGGCTTTCAGCTGTAGTTAAGCGAACTCAAAAGTGAGCCACAGTTGCTATACTTGCTCATGAAAAGAGTTGAGTATATTGGTCCATTTTACAGCTTTGAACTTGCTGGCTTTCATCAGTAATTCGCAGCTGCTCTTAGCATAAGTATCAACTCTTAGATAAACAACAACCCAGCGCTACTCTGCAAGCATTCAAAGTCAATTTGAAATTCTTTTCCAAGCATTCATTTTCCATTACTAATTTTAGCTGTGCCGTATATCGATTTCTAGTCTCATATATTCAATTTACAACAAACAGAAAGCGGAAAGAAAATCATTTATTCTACTGTAATTGTTTTCATGCCTTGCGTTTGGCTATCTGACCAGACTTTGATTATTATTCTGGTAAATCTCGGTGACCGCGTTTACCTTTCCAGCTTTTGTTATTGACGCTTGTTAGCTCTGCGCTGTGCTGCTTTGCTCTGCTCTGCTCTGCTTTGCTCTGCTCTTTCGACTACAAATTTCCATATCCGTTTTCCCTACATTTGTTGTTGTTGTTTATGACCATGCGCGACTGCATCCATTTCCAAATTTGAACAGTTTGGTTAACCGCTAATTGGTTTTCATTTTCATTGATTTTCCCTCTTTTTTTTAGTCCACATGGTATATGAGTGAGTGTGTGTGTGTGATGCTGGCAGACACACTCGCATGTCTGTGTGCGTGCCTTCTCTTTCCATGTTGCAACTGTCTCCCAGCTCGTGCGTGTTGCCGTGTGTTGTGTTTATTCGAATCGTTTGTCATTTGTTGCGGTTTCGATCAGCTTTTGGTTGACTGCACCAAAACCACCTGCCACAGCCGCGCCCCGCTCAATCAGGCCGCCCTTCATTATATTTTTTTAATACTGTCGCTGACCTTATTCAAAAATGCTTAACGTAAATTAGCTGGTTTTTGCGGACGGTATGAATAATGAGCGGCATTTAATGAGTCAATTGCAATTGAATTTGAGCTGCGATAATCACGAATAGCAGCAGCAGCAACAATGACAGCTTGACTTTTATGTGTGTGCGTGTGTTTGTGTGTGTGTGTGTCTGTCACTCAAATTAAGCGTTTTATGGCGGCGCACGTGGCGTATGCGCAATGTGAGCGCACGCTAAGCGAGGCGCGTGCGAAAAGTTAAGCGCATTCCTTGCCCTTTCTTTTTTAAGTACTGGCAGCTGGTATGCTGTAAGCGAAATACATCCTTGTTTTAATTGAATTTCATCTAATGTCCTGTGCGGCGCTGAATGGGTTGGCAGCTGCTCGACTCAGGTTAACAAGCGCCTCGGCTGGCTGCTGTTCAAAACTTTATGCCACATTCTCCAACTACAGTTGTGAGTGCCGCTGCCACGGCTGCCACTGCCACTGCTGCTGCTGCTGCTGCTGCTGCTGCTGCTGCTGCCATGTGTCCTTTGCCTTTGTGCATGTCACGTTGGCTGGCAAAATTTTTATGAACTGCGTGCTGCAGCAGCAGCAGCAGCAACAGTAACAACTCCACTGATTCCCAAAGCAGGCAACGCCATTGGCTGCTGTCTTAACAGCAACAAGGGCAACGAGGTGGAAGCTGAGGACGAGGCTGAGACTGAGGCTGTGCCTGATGAAATCTACGGGCTCTGGTAGTTGTTGCTTGTAAATTCCGCAGCTCTATTTGTTGCCAGCATCGTTCTTGTTGTCGTTGTCGTTGTCGTTGTCGCTGCTGATATCATCGTGTCAGGGATTTCTAGCAAAATTTAATAAAAACTTTATGTCGCTTAAAAGAATGTTTATGGAAATTTTTCACTTAAACTTGCGCAAAGTAATAAATGTAAACAGAATTCCTGAAAAGGTGCGACAACAAAATTCAAACTGAGAGCAACAGCAACAGCAACGGCACAACGGCACAACAGCAACAAGCTGCACACTAACTGGTTGTTGTTGCTCTTGTTGCTCTTGTTGCTGTTGTTGCTGGTGGCGCCGCAGCGAGAGTCAACAGTGCGGTTAATAAATATGCGCACCAGGGCAGACATTTTACCGCTGGCAAAGAAAGCATTGCATGCTACTAGGCGCCCACTTCGCCGACCCACCGCCTCGCTCACGCCCTCGCCTGTTGCTGGCTTAGATACAACAAGCAGTCAGATAGATTGAGATACATGCGGCAGCACAGATATGGCAGCCAGGCAGCACTTGTGCTCTCTCTCACTCTCTCTATCTGTGTGCAAATGAGATTGTATATTACAATAAAATGGAGTGAAGTACAAATTAGAAAACTTGCAAATAAATTTAAAAGCACAAAATGAAAACAGAACAACAACAAGAGCGACTGGAATAAATAACAAAAACAAAAAAGAAAAAAATAGAAAAGAAAAGGCAGCTCGCTGAGCAAAGCAAATGGCAAACAAAACACATTCAAGCGGAGGCATTAGATAGAGCGGGCGCTGGGAGCTACAAAAAAATAGCAAAACTTTTGCAACTTAAGCGAGTTTTTGCTGTTGTTGTGGCAGCAGAGACAAAGCGGGTCGCTGAAGTGCAACAACAATAAAAATTGAGTAAAATGGCAAATGGCAGCTGTAGCAGGCGGCTCCAGACCCAAACACTGCCTCAACACGCCCCCTCACAGGCTTCACAGCCCCAGCAGCAGCATAAGTAAATCCAAACAATTTATTGTTGTACTTTTAACATTCTTCTCATGCACATTGTTGTTGTTGTTATTGTTGTTGCCTGCCACCATTGAAGCAAACATAAGCGACTTTTCAATGAGTTTGGAAAGTTATTGAAACATAAATTATATCGCACGGCGCACGCACGCCAAACGCAGAGACCCAGAGACCCGGTGCCAACAACCACAAGCAAGCCCACAAAATACGCCCGAAAGCAGCAGCAGTAGCAGCAGCAGCAGTAACAGCAACAACAACAGCAACAACAACAAGAGGAACAACAAATATAACACCCCTTTATGACTGCCAGGCATTTAGGGGTTGGGGCTGGGTGCTAGGGAGTTCGGTGCTGGGGGCATTTGCCACCTCACGCATTTTTGTGCATGGCAATTAAGTTAAATTTTTCTTTCTCTTGTTAATGTTTTCCCATGCCCTTACCAACAGGTCAAGGCTTAACACATTTCTCATGCAGCTTGCAACGCAGTGGAAAGTTTTCTGAAGTAGCTGTCAGCTCGCATTTAGGAACGATGCGAATGTTATTGTGCACGAAAAAGTGGTTCAAAGTGTCCCAGTGCTTAAGCTATAAATTAGCTTTGCTTTAATTGTATATGAAGGAAAGTGGGAAATCTAAGTGGAGCAGAAGCAGATTAAAATTTGTAACTTAAATTTGATTGAAGAAGGTGCAGCTAAAGGGAAGGTTGTGTGGTATATAAGAAAAAGTTATTTAAGCAGCTCAACAACTGTGGAGATATATTTGGATAATATGGATAATGAAGATAATGTGGATAATGGCGATAAGCATATAGATACGTAGTCATAATGTGATTATTTAATTGTTGAATAGTGAAAGATTGAAGAAGTTTTCAGCGCTCTTTGAACTGGTAGATGTAGATATATCGATTATATACTATATACATTGCTTGAGCTATAAAATCAAATTTTTAAAATATTGCATAATCTGTTATTTCTATTGCCATTATGTACTATGGCGTGTAAGTGGAGCAGACGGCACTTTCCTAATGTCCCTCTACTCGATGGTCTTACCTTCTGAATGTGCGTTAATTCTTCAATGCTCTCACACTGTCCACTGAGGTGTCCGTCAATAACCTGTTTATGCTTGCATATATATTTATATATATTTCAATCTGTATAAATGTACATGTATGCTGGCTTTTTCTCGCTCTTGTACTCTGTGAAAAAGCTGAAATAATACAATTCTCAAATGGTTAAAGCGCAGCAAGACTAGTAGAGGAAAGTTGAGCCAATGCTTGATAGTGAAGCCTGTTCATGTTAGAATCGGTAGGTTCTAGAAATAGCTATACAGACAATTTGCCTACATTTCTTGTGCTCATTTATTGTTAAGTAATAATTGCAAATGCTTGAAGTAAAACCTGTAAAATGTACAAAGACAAATATTTCTTTATTTATTATAATATATATATCTACAAAATGCAGGTCTCATTTATTATATTATATATAATATCATACCTATATATATTTTAATTTACCTTATGTATATACATATCTAGCTATCTACCCACATCTATCACATCATTTATTCCACATCCCACATAGAGCATTCCCA